ATTAGTTTAGCTATTTTATTTTTTTTTTTTATGTAATAAATATTTTTTTTTAAATAAATAAAAATAAATTTACAATTTCTATTATTTATGGCCACCACTGTATAAAGCATACTTCTTTACTTTTTAAGTTCACAAGATTATAAATAAAAAATTTTGATTTTTTAAGAAATCTAGCTAAAGTCATAAAAACTTCTTGTTGAATATAACTAGTCTACAACTGATTATATTAGGATATGATTCTTTGAGTTTCCATTTATCAAATAATGGACAGGACTAGAAGATACACATTTTGATATATTAGCACTCTACCTATGTAATTAGAATTCTGGTACTGGTAATATAGGAAGAATGGAAGGCAATAGGTCAACCAGTAGATAAGGTTAAATCCAAATCTTAAGTAGTTCTACTTGAAAATTAGTAGTGGAAAATTTGTATAATATGAATTTGTATATACTGTGCAAGAAAACCTTATAAAACAAGATATATATCAGTTGTAGAAAAAAAATTATCATAGGTATTGTTTTAAACTAAACTAAAAAATTTATTAGTTATTTTTGATAAAAATTATTTCAATAACATGATATTAAGACAATTATGTTTATAGCATTTCATCTACAAACTAATAAACAGATCAAATAAGTCAATAAAATCTTGAAAAAATGTTATGTATTTTATCTCACTTATAAACAAGATTAATAAAATAAATATTTATTCGCAACCAAGTTTACTTACAACAATTGCAAACAAGCCTTAACCAGATTCATATTTTTCGAATTAAATTGTAAACAATATTCAAAGATATCTCTATCTTTGAACAATCTGTGAAATTGGATTGATTAAAATAATTTATCATCATTTAAGATCTTATTTAAGATTTTTATCTTTTATATTATATTATACATGCAATTCAATTATTGGCTGTTCGTTTTAATTAATTCGCGACATGTATAATCTATATACAGTAATTTGTTTGATATTTATTATTATTATATTTTTTTTGTTATGATTGTCAAAACTTCATAGTATTAATAACAGATAATGAGTCCATTATTTTCCCGAACAAACGGTTAAATAATATTAAAATTTTCAGTTATTGAATTATGTGATTTTGCCAAGTTGGGATTTGTTTTTTCTTATGATTTTCTTTTAATACAATAACGGCTAATTACCAACGTGAAAGTTATGAAATACTGTATCTCGACATTATAACAGTTGCTTATATAATAAATTTAGTCTAATTACAGTACATGTTTTTGCGTTTTCAGTAAAAAAACCGCGAAGTGATCATGTGAGCACGATATATTATCCATCATAATCGCTCGATTGTAAGATATCTCCTTTAAAACATTATTTTTTTTCATTCACTAGGCCTTTGATGAGATGATTTACAACATTGCATTAGGTTTGGAAAGAAGAAATCTCTTCTCTGCAGATATTCACATCACGTGATGATGATACCATACTGTAAATCTTTGCAATATTATTTATTTTACAGAATGTAAGGGTATGAACATTTTATTTAAAAGTCATGATGACCCATACATGTCGGCACGTAGGTTGACGAGTCACAATATAACAAGGACCCTTGATATCCCCTTAGACAATTCGGTCGGTAAACGGTATTCGCAGATTTCACTCGTGCACCCTCTTGTAAAAACGATAATTTTCCGTGATCGATGTTACAATTGTTCTTGTTATCATGGACGAAAGGTTTCTCATCAACAAAAACCCTTTTTAATCTAAAAAGTGAGAGATAACAGATTTGACGACAATTAATCAGACGGTGACCTCAAAATTAATCATACGATGATGACCTCAAAGACTCTTTTGTAACGAGATAAACCTAATAAGTTGATTACATATATTTTAAATTAGTTTTTTAACGACAAAAATGGCCCTTTATGAATGTATGCACACCTTGATTTATACAGTCCAGCGAAGAATAATTTCTGCTGAAATTCGTTAGTTAAAAAAGATTTACGAATAATGACGAAAAAAAAAAAAAAAAAAAAATTACGAGTTTGGTGTAAATGTCACGTAAAAATTGTTCATTATTAGTCAGAGAATTTACCATTAGATGGTTAAACATGACATCACGAACAGTTTTTGATGTTATTGCAAAATCCTTACCTCTGTATACGTAATAAATACAGAGATTTTCTTTTTCGTGAATACATCCTTTTCTCTTGAGTATTCAATCGATATTTACGTCGAATATTAATATGACGTATTAACCTCTCTTAGACATGTTCATATAAATAGAAAAATGTTCTTGCATTTGTGCATCATCATCTTCTGTAGGCAATATCAAAATGGAGGTTCGTTCATATTTTGAGAGTGCTTCGCTTTACCATCATTGTTATGTCGTAATCGATTATTGTAAACCAGGAATCGGACTTGATCGGGCTCATGGATGACGATTCAAAGAATGCAGCTTATTATTT